AACTGTATCGAACACTTTCAAGGACCTGTTTCCCTTAGCTGTTTGTCATCATTCAAAACTATCAATCAAAACCTAAGGGACTCAACAAAATCATAAGATGCTCTTGTTTATCTTATAGTTTTTCTATCAAAGAAAATAGTTATTGTAATGGTTAAATTAATGATTAGACTATGCTATTAAATTGATATAGGTATTCTTGGTAAAACCTATTAGCTCAAGTGGTAGAGCACTATGCACATGCATAGGGGATGTAGGTTCGATTCCTACATAGGTTATGTCTATAAAAAAACTTTCGAAAGTAAACCATAATAACTTAATAGTAAAACATGAAAATCAATCAAATTATTTTTTCAACTTATGTTCCAAATTATTTTTCTTATGTTCTAAATTTTTGTTTGCTTATGTTCTAAATTTTTTCTGCTTATGTTCTAAATTTTTTCCTATGTTCTAAAATTTTTTATATGTTTAAAATATAAACTCTTCAAAATTACAGAAATGCCATTATATATATGTATCTATAAAAATATGTATATATAAAAATATGTATGTATAATTTTTTCAGCGCGCCACGTAGGATAATAAATTTTAGTGGTAGCCAATTAAATACGAGATTATTAATTTCTTTTAGAATTAAATAATTTAAATGACACGTAAGCAAAATTGCTTAATGAGATTTTCCAGTTTAAATTAATTAAATAAAAAATATTATCTTTTGATATCAGACATTTTATCTAAATATATAAAAAAATTTAGCACAAAAAAATATATAAAAAATTATTTTAAAAAATTCAAACAAAACGTGCATCGCACGGGCTTCATTTAGTAATTTTATAATCCTATATATACACTTACACATAGAATCATTATTAGAAAAAAAAATACTAAATTTTTGAACGCTTAACAAAAATAGTAGCATGAAAGACCGATGGTGTTTAGAATTGACCATAGAGTCGAACAAAGCCCTAAAATATCCCGTTTGGATCCGAGCACAGAGGCTTGCTCGGCGAATATGTACCTACGCTGTATTGTCGTTTATTATCCCGGCTCTTCCGGCTGATAACATTACTCAGATAGCTTAGACAAGTGTGGTGGTACGAACCCAAATTGGAATTATGAATTTACCTATTGTATTAGCAAGAATTTGTTGTCAGAAAACCGAACCAAAGAGTACCTAATACTAATACATATATATTGTGCTACTTTGGGGTTAATGACTAAAGATTGGTTGATTGGAAGCGCAATAATGTCGACGATGAATATTGTTGCTAATAAATGTGGCTTCTTCCATCATCATCTAGAGTTATATCGTGTGACCAAGGACGGGCTACAAATGCAGCATGCGGGGTGGATCAACATCAGGACCAATATCTTCCCAGATTCCGATCTCGATTATATGACTTGCGACTTTGCCAGGGATTGAGGATACAAGAGCAAGCTAGGAAAGTAGCTAGGAGTTGCACCCAATGTATGATTTGCTTGGAGGGATGGGATACACATATACCCGAAGAGCAAAGTATCCAAGTTTTAAAGACATGTGGTCACAATTTTCACAAGGATTGCTGGCTTTCTTGTTGTAAAGAGGCCAACAAAATCTCTTGTCCTAGACCCGAACTCGGACATGACCCAACTTGCAAATGACCTGACCTGATAATAACCTACACATTATTGTCGTACCGAGGTGCATCAATCTGACATAGCCCGACCTTCTTTAGATTAAGGGTTATTAGCAGGCTAAGATTTTATTTGACGCAAAGAAGAATCAATTAATACTAGCTTATAAAGATAGTGATAGTGCAATTTCAACTCAAAATGAGTATTTTAATCATGTATTAGTTGTGGATAGTTTATTCGGTTAATAAAATAGATGTAGCTTTGCAATCACCATGTATTAGTTCGGGTAGTTTATCTAGTTGATAGACATATTGTTGCAACACAATACACTACTGTTGGGTTTGAGAAGTGTGGAGAACGGTTCAAGGAGGCTAAGGGGGTGCATAGCTTAGGAGTTTACGCTATGGGCTATTGCTTGGTGTTAAGAAATGGTGGATGACAAAGGGCTGACTTCAAATGCACATATCTCAAGATCTAGAAGTGATATTGAGATTATTCAAAATGGAGGTGATAGATCGTCTCAAGATCTTTCCAATGACTGGTCATAAGCTAAATTTGGCCAAGAAACGAGGAAGATATGGCTGTTTTACGAAAAGTTGTTTGGCAGGGGAAGTCGGAGCGACCGCTCCTCTCTAGAGAAGCGCCCGCTCCTTCAAGGCTCATTTTGTCTATTCTTCCAGTTTGTTGGAGCGCCCGCCCCGGTCCATTGGAGCGCCTGCTCCTCCTTTGGATCACTCGCTCCACTGGGTTTCTCGGGGCTCTATTTTATCGCGCTTGAGCCTCGGCTTTACGGTCTTGATTTCTCCTTTTTTAGTAACTTATATTATTATCCCTTGGATTATTTTCCTTGTATTGGAATATATATACTCTTGTATTGTCATTGTAAGGGAGAAATAAGAGGATGAGGGAAAGATGTAGAGAGAGAAAGCCTCATGTAAACCCAAACACTTAGGGTTTGATTGTTTGAGAGGGTGAATTTTGGGTGGGAGCTTTCATGGTGATTGAAAGCTAGTAAACTACATAGTTCTTCATCAAATTACTCCATAGTGGATTGGTAGGTTTTTCTCCCGGTTCTCGGGTTTCCCACGGTAAATTCTCCATGTCTCATTTATTGCTTGTTTTTCCGTCTTCGTTGTTGTTAATTGTTGTTAATCGCAAACTAGCTAGCAAGTTCGTAATCCCTTTCAATTGTTACAGAGCCAAGGTTGTTTTGGCTTTTTTTAGGGTTATATTGTATGGTATGCTTGTTGTTTGTGATTGGAAAGTCCAAAGATTGAATTTTTGGTGTTAAATTTCAATTTTGGTGTTGTGGGTGTTCAAAATTTGAGTCTTTGGTGTGGATTTCAATTGGTTGTTAATGGAATTGAAAAGTCTTGAATTTTGAGTTTGATTAACAATGGAAGATGGAGTAGGAGGATTTAAATCTATAAAGTGTTGATGTTGGAGTTGAAGGACATCAAGGATTTCCCCATCTTGATGTCTTGATGTCCAGAAGTAAGCTCAACATTGATGGCTATATGTTCTGTGAGAAGGAGGACCATGGAGAAATTGTTAAGGGAACTTGGTTGAAGTTCATGGGACAATTGAGTGGTGCCTTGTAACCTTGGAAAACACATGAGTAGTCATGAGGGGTGTGTTCTTTGCGGAGGCGTGGCTTGGTCGGATTGCAATTGAGGAAGAGTCATGGTTTTGGTGTTTCAATGGTGGAAGATGGCCGGGAAAAGCATGTCAAGTGAAGGGGTCTCACATGGGTGTTTTGAGGTTAAGTGAATCTTTGCGGTAGGAATTGTTGGTTGGATAGTCATTGGAGAAAAGCTGTGGTGTTCGATGTTTCAATGACAGAAGAAGACCGGAAAAGACGTGTCAAGTGAAGGTATATCATGAAGGCTCACATGGTGGTTGTGAGTGGTTAATGCACATGTGGGTTTAGCATGTGTGAGAGGCAAGTATGGGTGCTTGTTGAGGTGGGAGCATGGTAGGAGTGTTCCATCAACAAAAGAAAAATGCCCAAAAGGCTTGTGTTTGTCACGGAGGGTGAGATCGTGTAGAGTGCGGTTGGAGTGCTCGGAGAACTAGCAAAATCCCTTGGATAACGTGATATTTATCAAAGTTGGTGTAGACTTTGATGTTTGCTTCCTTGTTGAGAGGAGGTGTCATTTCCTTGGTGTAGAGGAAATGGGTGTTTTGTCGGGTTTGGTTGAAATCTTGATGTTTGCATTGTCTTATTGGTGTGTAGAAGGTGGTGTGTTGGAGTTGGTGTAGACTCCGATTTGCTTCCTTGGTGTAGAGGAAGTGGTGCTTTATTGGTTGAGAGAAAGTGTTTTTATCAAGATTGATGTTAATCTTAATGTTTGGTCTCCTTTGTGTAGATGAGGTGGTGTTCCTTGGTGAAGAGGACATGTGTTGCACACATGGGCATTGTGTGTGGGAAAGCAAGTGGAGCAAAGGATGTTTTATTCGGGTGGGAGCATGGTGAGTTAATTGTACCGGGAGCATTATTGAATTCCTTTAGCTTGTGTGTTGCTTTGGGGGGTGTGTTCGGTTTAGAGCATGGTGAAGTTCTTGGAGAACAAGGAAAAGTCCCTCGGTTGTGTGATGAGTTTGTCAAGGTTGGTGAAGACCTTGATGTCACTTCTTTGGTTAAGAGGAAGTGGGTTTGTTTTCTTGGTGTGGAGAAAACGGATCTTTGCTATGTTGATTAGCAAAGATGTTGATGACAATGGTTGGCTCATTGTGTTGGTGTGATCTCTTGATGATAAGTCGATTTCCGGGTAGGGAGATTGTAAGACTTATGTAGACATGTTGGAGCACAATGAAGGAGCCATGAGAGTATATATGTAGTGTGTTTGTTCTCACACTTGAACCGATCTCCAGGTGGGAGATTGTTGGGTTTGAGAAGTGTGGAAAATGGTTCAAGGAGGCTAAGAGTTTAAGCTATGGGCTATTGCTTGGTGTTAAGCAATGGTGGATGACAAAGGGCTGACTTTAAATGGATATATCTCAAGATCTAAAAGTGATATTGAGATGATTCAAGTTGGAGGTGATTAGGGTTGTTCATCGATCCAAGACCGGACCGGACCGGACCGACCCGAATTGGACCGAAGACCGAAAATTAGAATCTTAAGAACCGAAGACCGGACCGATTAAGTTAGTACCAAACCCGGACCGGACCGAAAAAATCGGTCCAAAACCTGGACCAAACCGCTTTGGACCGATTTAAGATTTTTTTTTTAAAAAAAGAATACTAAATTTTTTATAAAGTTTAGGAAAACACAAAAAAAAGTATTGGAAAAACTATATTGTAATTTGTAACGTCATTTTTTGTATGTTTAGTGCAAAAAAGCTTATAAAGTTAAAATTTTCTAAGCTTATTAAGGATAATTCTTACAATTATTTAAATTTTCACACATATTTTTAATAAAAAAATCGGTCTGGTCCAAAACCGGTGTTTGAGAGGGTGAGTTTGGGGTAAGAGCTTTCATGGTAATTGAAAGCTTGTAAACTACATTGTTTTCATCAAATTATTACTACATAGTGGATTTGTGGGTTTTTCTCCTGGTTCTCGGGTTTCCCACGGTAAATTCTCCTTGTCTCGTTTATTGCTTGTTTTTCCATCTTCGTTGTTGTTAATTGTCGTTAATCGCATACTTAGCTAGCACATTTGGTAATCCCTTTCAACTACCTCAACTGTTTTTAAATTTGTGATGGGTAAAAAGTTGGGAAAAAAAAGAGCCAAAATCCATATCTCAACATCTTTGTATATGGTGTCACATTGTCACTATAATTAATTAATTATGTACAAGGTCCACCCCATTTTTTAATTCTTTCTCCAGCGATGGAAGCCTGTGTCAAAAAAAAAAAAAAAAAAGCCAGGCAATTAATCTTCAAATTAAACCAAAAATTCAACATGATAAATAATTACGGAGTAATTATAATTTTCTTTTCATAAAAATAAAAAATACCTCTTTATTCCAGTTGGTTTTGTAGACTATAAAAATTAGGATTATGGTTTGCACAGTTGTGCCAGATAACATCCCAAACCATATACCCTGCAATTAGATAGAAATCTATTGATTATAAAGTTGTATATGTATTTTGAATTCAAATATACAAGCAATTTAAATCTTTACCTACTAAGGGCCTGTTCTCATTGACTGAACTCAGCTGAACTGAACTGAACTGAGCTGAACTGAACTGAACTGAACTGAATATTTTATAAGAGAAGGAAATTAGGAGTTGAGCTGAACTGAACTGAACTGAGCTGAACTGAACTGAACTGAACTGAATTGAATTTTAACGTAAGAGAACAGGCCCTAAAACAACACATAACTAGTAGTCATACTCATATACTCATATTGTCACAACCCTCGACGATGAAGGGTACGTCTTTTTTTCAATTATATGCACTTGATTAAACTCCCTCTATCTTAAAATAAAAGCCATATTTGCTTTATAGGCTTGTGTTTAAATTAAAGGTAAATGAAAAGGCTAAGATGATGATTATGAAATTGCTGAGACTTTTTAATAAACTGTGTTATGTTTACCTTAAAAATAAAATCAAGGCTAAATTTAATTATGTTTAACCAGCTATAATTAGGTCTAATTAGGTATATCTGTGTATATATAAGATAAAATTAGTGCAAATGAAATTCAACATACAAAACGAATGCTCCGTAACCAAACCTTATGTTGAAGCTTGAAGTTTTGATGATGATAGACTTAAACTCAAGCAATCTTAACTAAAGGTTTCTTTTATTGCTTTACTAAGAACAGGTGAAGTAGACCTTGGTGGTGGAAGAGTAGCCTTAACTAAGAAGAACGTGAAGAAGAAGTCTTTAAGAAGGTTAATCAAGATAAAAGAAGAGTTCCCTAACAAGAACTTAGTTCTCTAACAAGAACTATTTCAGTTCCTTAACAGGAACGTTCCCTAACAGAAACTTGAAGACAGCAGGAACTTGGTCCTGGTATGCGTGAAGCCCAAGCAATCCTCGAGTGCAGAATAAATTGGCACAACAACTTATTTAGTTAAGATTTTATCTTCTAGATTGGTTGTTAAATATGTTAAGTAGGGTTTGCACGAAACCTATTAGAAGTGTGACAAGCTGCTTGGTAAATCTAATTAAAACGGAAAAGATAAAAGATAGATTTTAAGTAAAGATTTTATAATTGATTTTATTTCTTAAAATCCGTTTAACAAAAAAGATATTATTCTTTTTGTTAAATTTTCTTTATCTTATTTTTCCGAAAAGATTTTATTCTAAATGATTTACATAAAACCGTGTTTTGGGATTAAGTTAAATTAACTTATTTATCTTTTGAAAAACCCTACTTGCTATACAAGTAAATCTTGTATAAATAGTAGAGATCTCATTTCATAAGTTTTTTGTGAGTTTATGCGTGAAGAAATCTCATAGCTTAATTTGTGTAAGTGTGCCAAGCTTATAATCTTGTCATATTAGTTTCGGGTTTCGTGCATTGCTTGCCAAGCATATTTTAGGTGTTTTATATTTTGTATTGGTTGGGTTCTTGGGTGAGTGTGTAATTCATACTTTGCATACAGTGAGCTAGCTTCTAGTGTGAGGTTGTAAGTGTACTTCGGGAGTACGAGTGAATCTAAGTTTGGGACTTAGATTGGGTAGGATAGGGTCCTACTATGTATCAAGTTCGTTGTGGAACTTGTGATTAAAGTCTGTTTATAATAGGTTGTAATTTGGTATTGCCCTATTATAGTGGAGTAACTTGGTTTTGGAAATCCCTTAGGTAGGATCGAGGTTTTACTTCTAGTTAATAGAAACTCACCTACAATTCACCCCCCCCCCCCCTCCTCTTGTAGTATTCGTCTTAACTAACACCTTATGTTGTACTTCATCGTATTGTTTATGCAATGTCTTTATTTTTTTCGGGCATTACAAGTATTAGTTTATGGGATTGATAATTTTACGCAATAGAGCACGTTTAAATACAGTCCTAGAAGATTAAAGTTTACCTTGACTCCAAAATCAAGAGCATATCCCAGACTAAGGCCCAAGGGAATGCCCAATATGTAGTAACAGCCCACGTTTATGTAAACAAAAGCTTGCCAACCTGCTCCAATTGCCACACCTGTGAACACCCTCACCAAAAAAAAAGTTATTTCTTTAATTGATCAATTATATGTTTCCTACTTTACTTTTGAATAAAGTACTTCAATTTCATAAAAAAATAATTAAAAAAAAAAAAAAAGTGTATGTTGTGAATTGTCCCAAAAAAGAAAGCTAAAAAAAACAATCAACAACCACAAAAATGAAAGATAAGGGTCCAAACAAGCTAAGCTACGGAGTATTAGTTTGGTGTAATCAAGATATGAATCATAAAAGGCGACGTGGATTTGGCCACACAATTGAAATCTAATTAGGCAAGGGCGATGTAATACGAAGTATATCATTTCATCGATTCTATAAGTATAGTAATGACTTTCCAGCACACAGTGTTTTCTAATTATGTTTTCAGTACGTATGTTTGAAAAAGAAAGTACTCGTAAAACATTTATAAGTATGCACGTACCTGAAAGAACAGGTTGAATATTGTTGACCGCGATGCTAAGAGCCAGAAGAGGGGTGAGTTTGTACACAATGTCTTGTACCTCTTTACTGCTGGTAAATACTGCCGGATAATTGCTTCGGTAGATAATCAATACTAGTGACATAATTAAACCCACTAATAATGAAATTAATACGGACACTAAGACGGAGAATTTTGCTGCTCTTGGATGTGCTGCTCCAAGTTCATTTGACACCCTTACACTACACAATAATTATACAAATTAAACTCGATAACTTTTAAACTATAATCTCAACTAATGTACGTCTAATTAGTTATCGTAACAGTTTCAAATCATGTACGTAAATGGATTACCTTACTGCTGCATTGAATCCCAAAGCGACCATAACTGTCCATCCTAATACGTTAACACTGAAATTTGTTTCAAAGACAAGAAAACAATTCGTTATTAGATCACCATTATTATTCAATTTGTACTGCACTGTAAATTAATAGATTTGTATAGCCAAGGTTTTGCTTACCAGACAGATAATGCATCCACAGAAATTTCAGCATTCTTCAAATATCCGGCGAAAAGAATGAGAGCCATAAAATACCAAGTTTCTAAGCTGCACACATATATATTTCAAGATCAATAATTTAGAAAAATTATACTACCTCCTTATGGCTCACAAATAATACCCCTTACAATGATTATAGGGGTTATTTCGTTAGTGTAATAAGGGCTACTTAGTCAGTGTTAAAGATAAACGGATCTGGGCCACACTCGATACAACTGTCCACATTATACGACCAAGGAGGTTCCACCTCAAAACCATATGGCAATAAGGGGAGTAGCGTATAAAGTGGACACGACTTTCTCTTTTCTTCAATGTGGGATACAAATCCCAATATTTCTCTTCACTTTTATATTCTTTCAATGTGAGACAACACTTTCACTCACATGTGGGTATTCTCATGGGCTCAAGTGCTCTACACTCCCCCTCACATGTGAGTTGTTCATAATACTGGCTCAAATCACAACACAACCCAAACTTGATACCATGATAAACGCCTAAACGAGTTTGGGCCAAGAGTTGGTTCATGTGAGGGGGAGTGAAGAAGCATTTTAGCCCCAAAAATCACATGAGACAAAGATAAAAGGGGCTTTACATGTGAGGAGTGTTGAAAAATAGACTTCCCAAGTATCACTACATGTAGGTGTCTCACATTAGTTAATGCAAATTACTCGTAGCTAGCTAGATGAAATAAAAAAATCTTACCATAACATCACTGCAGAGGCAACAGATAGCCTAACAAAGCCCCATAAATCTTGAAAAGCCTTCCAAGAGAACCCACTCCATGCCTGCCCACACCTCCCACTGAAAATGTACACTAGCTCAGCCAACACTATGAACCACCATGAACCATTCAACACGATAGCTCCGCCAAAGAGGCCCCATCCAAGCTTGAGCATGAGCAACCATGAGAAGAACGCGTGTAGGACCAATGACACCCCCGCAATCACTGCCATGGTCATCACCTTACGTTGTGCTTGTAGGAACTTTATTATAGGAAATACCATCGCGTATGCAAATAGTTGTGGGATCATCCATAACGCTAATCTGCCTATAAAAAAACTTAATATTTGATTAGTAAACATCAAAGTAGTCCGTAGTCAAATTAATTGATTAAAAATCTACTAAGAATAAGTTATGATCAGTAACAAGTTTGCAAGGTATTTACATTTACATAAAATTAGGTAGGACGTAACAAGTTTAGTTATGTATGTAAAAATTGTTACAGGGGCGTACCTGCTGCCTCGGAAATGGCAGAAGTCTCCCCAATAAGCCTCAAAATTTGGTCAGCAAAGATGTAGAGTAGGCTTAATAAGAGAGCTGTAGAATTGAGGATGACCCATGACCTTTGCATGTAGATTCCTAGCATCTCAATTTGCCCTGCTCCAAATGCTTGTCCACATAGTGTCTCTAACGCACTTCCCATTCCAAGCTTCAAATTTGACAAAATTGTGTTATGTCTTATGTGTATGATTTTATTTGACTTGTCAATCCGTAATTATGTGTACATGTCTAATTTCTAAAGAATAAACTAAAACTTCAAAATTGTTGTAAAAGAATTTCAATTAATGTCATTTCTTAAAAATTGTTTTTAATTTATGTCAATTCAAAATAATCTCAAATTATATTTTACATGCTTGAATATCCATTCTCGACTTTTATGTCAACTTAAAATAATCTCAAATTTTATTTTACAGACTTGAATATCCATGCTCGACATAGACATGTGTAAAGAACGTGTCTACCTGTCTAAGTATATTTGGCTATTTATGATTTTATTATTAGTTTTAATCTATGATAAAGTGTGTAGTTTACTCATATTTAAGTGTCGACACGAAAACAGAAATTTGAATATGGGGTAACATAGATTTCAACTTTAAGGAATGGAATGTCTTATTTGAAGACAAAGTTATACGGAATAGATTAGAATGTCACATTGAATGTTAATCATCCCGATCTAACGAGTAGATGGTGGTCTCTCTCAATGAGGTCACCAATTTGAATATTTTTTGTATTATACGGAGTAGTTAATTTCGGGAAAATACAAATCAAATCATTTATTAGCTTCATATTTACGACAACACAATTACCTCACCACCTCAGACCTCAGTGCTCAGTTGCACACACGTGAAATCATTTTTGGCCAATAATTAATTATTGGAATAACTATTTACTAATTGATTAAAATAACTGATTAATTAATTGGAATTACCTTATCCTTTTGCTGTCACTCTTTAATTGTACCACCAAAATTCATTCTTTTGTGGTACTCCTAATCGGTGAAAGATTTTCTTACTTTTTACAAAGTAGGTGGCATAAATGATAATTGCATATACAGTCTTTGCCTTTTTTTAATCATTTTTTTTTTGTTTCATTAATTTGGTTTTTTCATTTGTTTTATGTTTCTGTAATTATTCCGTAATTAGTAACATGATGCTACATTGCTACGTACCAAAAAGAACACAATTATATTTATTCTTTTTTTGAAAAAAAAAAAGTAATGCTACACTCCGGGGTTTTTTTTTTTTTTTGAAGTAAAGTAGACGGTGTATTAATTAATAGACAAAGTGTCCGAGAGTACATAAGGTAAAATATTCGGGGGACAATGATCCACCCAAACTTGTTATACACCGCTAGGAAAAAGCTTAGCTAACTGATGAGCAACGACGTTGCTACACTCCGTATTTTGTTAAACGAGAAATATGTTATTTGATTTTTAATTATTGACAAATTAAAAAAAAAATTGTTTATGCTTTCAATTTATTTATCATAAATGTCAAAAGAAGTATTGTTTTACATGAGCATTCCATTACATATGTACATTTTCAAGGACCAGCTCAGGGTTGGTTCTGATTTACTAAAATGAGCTGAACTGAACTAATTGGAGGTGAATTGAAATGAATGTTTTGTGAGAGAAGAAAATTAGAAACTGAACTGAAAATAAGCTGAAAAGAACAGGCCCTCAATATAGTCTATTGGACACGTGATCAATAGTCGTCCATCAGGAGTCAAAAACCTCTCTTTATCAATTAATGAGTCATTATTTCATTAAACAAGGAAATAAATATCATTTGAGCCCTATCAATAACGATACATCCCTCATTTCAAAATTATATGAGACGCATTTAACAAAATATCTTTTTCAATAAATACAAAATATCAACGTCGTATCAATTTCAAAATATCGACTTTTATAATTTTTTACTTATTGATAATAATTACGATTGAATTTATGCATTGACAAACGTAATAAAGAGAGATGAAACGAATGAAACACATAAGTAACTACTTTATAAAATTTGGGCCCGGACATGCCCAGAGTCATTACATGTAATTTGGAGTTATATATGAAGTATATGTTAAATTTATAAATCAATTTTCAGTTGATTAAATTTTACTTTTCACATTGTCAATTAGTGTACCACATTGTAAAATACTTTATGGCATAGCTTTAATTAAAGTTTGAGGTTGTGATTCAAAATTCAAATGTTGATAAACAACCACCTTTACGATTTCTTATTGTAATTTGTAAATTGATAAAATAAAATGAAAAACAATGAATCACGTAGTACATGAACAATGAAAAACAAAAAATGATAGAGTACCCATTTCACTTAATTATACTTCTACATGTGACAGGGAATTTTATTGAGATTTGTGTCAATAAAACACAGACGCAAATAAAATAAATTTTTAATTCTTGCACAAAAATAAAAAATTATACCCGATATGATATTAGAAACAAAGGGAGTATATATATATATATATCGGACAGTGTAGTGGTACGTACCAGTGCACCAAAGGAGAAGCCGGCGATGACGGAGTTTTCGACGGACACGGCAGCAAGGTCGAGCGTACCAAGTTGGCCAGCCAAAGTTTGGGTGATAGCACCAAGGGAGTATTGACATATACCCATGAAAGTAGCAGGTGCTGCCAAATACATGGTTTTCTTAAACTCTATCCAAAACTCTCTAACAAAATCTTTTGGTGTTTTAATTGGTGGTATGTCATCCTCTTCATCTGCAACGAATGAATCGACATTACTAGGAAGATGAACATAGCCACCATCGCCGCCGCCTTTCGACGATGCTACTGGTAGACGATGGTGGTTATCGGTGGTGGTAGGTGGCAGCAGGGGCTGACGTTGATTTGTTGTGTTGTTTTCCATTTTACTTGTGAGAGGAGAATGGAGTTGTTTGGAAATTAATTAGGATGGGGTGGAGTAATGAGAATCAATAGTTTTTTAGAGTAAAGGTAACAATAATAGATGTGGTGGGTACCAATGATCTGAAATCATTTATTTCTCTAACGGCGGCTACGATGTGAAAACTTTTGTGTGTATGTTTATAATATTATGGTGGATTTTAAATCGGTTTTAGTATTTTTTTCAAAACAGTAAATAAATTCAAGTTTATAACAATGATAATTAAACATACCATGTTTATCTAAGGCACGTATTTTCAAGTGAGCTGTCAGCTGCTATTTAGTCAACTTACTCTCCAAATACATAGAGGATTTAATGGACGTTAATAGGGTAATTGTTTCCTCTCTCTTTCGTTTTCATTTTTCTCCCTCTTCCCCAAAGGATCGGAGATTCCCCTATTTCATTGTTCGCTGCCAATTTGTCCTTGCAGAAAACAACCAATTTGTTCATTGTTAAACAACCAATTTGTTCTTTGATTACTTGGCAATATTCAATTTTAAGTTCACTATTATGTCGTCCTTCATCTTCCTCAACTTTAATGGAGAAAAGAAAACATATACATACTCGACCATCTTCAACGGAGAAAGAGGATAAATCCTATCCTTTAGGGTTAACCATACCCTTTATTTCTCACCATTTTCTTAGGATTTTCGTTTCATTGGCGGCAAATCCGCCAAAAATATGGAGGTGAAAATGGTGGTTAAGTTCACAAGCAAATTCAATGGAGGTTATAGGTGGATAAGGGAAAATATGATGGTGGAAATGGTGGCGCTACAACAAAATAAAGCAAAGGCAACAGTGCAAAACCATTACCTAATATAAAAAAAGTGTTGTCTTGTAGCTAAGGCAACACATATGAGGCGTAATATATATGCCCTCGTTGTCTATTCATAAGGCAATACATTTTAATTCAAAGGCAACACTTTTACAAAGACAACAAATGAAAAATGTTGTCATCTAAGGAGATAATTCAAAAATGTATCTAAATGTTGTCACTCCTAAGCATTTAGTAGTTGGCAGGGCTCGAGTTTTTCACCAACTCCACCATATATATATATATATATATATATATATCTTAAATTATGTTGTCTTTTTAATATAAATGTTGCCATAGATGGCAACATAGATATTAATGTTACATTTTCAAACAATAGTTTTGCTATTGTCATCTCTTCATACAACAATTATTATGTTTGTTGTCTTAGACAAGAAAAATGTAACACTTTAAGAGACTGTTGCCTTATATAGTCTAGAGCAACACTTTTTTTTTTTTTTTGTGTGTTACTTTAGTTCAAGGTAACAAATAAATATTGTTGTGTTAGATATTAAGAGTAACATTTCTATAAGTCTTGCAATTTTAAGTGTTGTCTATTCTCATTTTTTTTTTTTTTTTGTAGTGTAGTTTCCCATTGACATTGTTTCTCACCAACGGCGGATCCAAAAAAATTTTATAGCCCAGGCTGAACTTATAAAGTATTTCAGATAAAAAAAATCCATAAAGAGATATGAGTTTAAGAAACCCACGCTAAAAATAAAAAAATTGTGCAAACAAGGGGATCAAAATTGAACCCTTAACCTTCCAAATCTATGGAACAAATACTATAAAACTTAATTATATGTACAAGTTTTTTTACTTATATAATACTAAAATCTGGGCATTGGGGGGCCAAGGCCCGGGTAGGCCCCCCCTTGGATCCGTCTATGTTTCTCATAGTTCTTTTTTGCTTCGTCATTGTTAAAGGGGTGAAGGTGGATCAGATCTTCTTCTCTTTCTATTTGGCAACCAAAAAAAAAAAAAACAGAGAGAGAGAGATAATATTTCATAATTTTAAACACGATATATGAGGCAGAGTATTTACAAAAGTGTCATTTGATAAACGAAAAACGTTAATCACTGTTATAAACCTGAGATCCCTCTTATTGAAGCTTTTATGTTATAATTTTGTGCTAAGTAGTGTTGAAATGTTTTGATTATCTTTTTATTATTAGAAGTGGTTTCAAACAAGTACATGCACTGAGCTATTTCAAAAGTCATGAAACATGGTATTCAAATAAAATTTGAGATCGAATTCAAATAGAGTACATATAGAATAAATTTACATCCATTTATTAGATGGTATCTCTTTACTTTTTAGGTCTTAGGTGACAAGTTATGGATTCCATCAACTCTTGATAGACACATTGTATATGTAAGGAGGATCAATTGGAGGGGACAACATGATGTGATGTAATAGCATATGTTTTAGACTAATAAGTCTAGTTAAAATCGAGTCTCTATTGTGTATGTAAGGAGGATTGTTGTATAGGCCAAAAGACTAGTTCATAATCACAAAACCCAACATCAATAGATTAGATCAGATCAAATTGAATAATAATAATAATAATAATAATAATAATAATAATAACAACAACAACAATAATAATAATCCAGAAGTTCTAGACGACTGAGGATATTGGGAACGTGTTGCAGCTCATATCTTTACTAGGATCGGATTTTCTATAGCTATAGGAGTGGAGGTCCATATTGTATCTCAGTTTTCAACTAATTTGCTATAGGTTGTATAACTTTATCTGCCTTTTTTTTATAATAGTAGTAGTAATAGTAATAATAATAATAATAATAATAATAATAATAATAATAATAATAATAATAATAATAATAATAATGTTGTTTTAATGAATACTACAAGAAGGGGGGGTTGAATTGTAGTATGATAATTTAGCCAAACTTTTTGCGGAATTAAAATTAAGTTAGCTAAAGGAACTGAGAGATTAACTAAAGGAACTAAAGAATGCAAGAGAGATTTTACGTGGAAAACTCCTTGGCCCTAACAAGGAGAAAAACCACGACCACTTGGGATTTTGGGAAAAGAATCTTCACTATAATAGGGCAAATGATCCTATTACAAGCTAAAGACTCAAACTCAAGTTCCTTTACGAACTTCAGACCCTGAGGAACAAGTCACCCAACTTGTTACTCTTCTCTTCTCTTTCTCTCTTCTCACTTCTCTGTTCTCTCTTCTCTTTCTCTTCTCTCTCTCTCTCTCTTCTCTTTCTCATACACAAACGTTCACTCAAACTTCCCATTCCCAATTACAACTCGAAAGAAAAACAAACTCTAATATAAGAACATTAAGAACACTCTAATGAACTTGTGTGGAATTGACACTTGACTCGATTTGAAGCTTGAAAACTTATGTGAGCAAGGGTGAGTTTTTCCAACAGAAATCAATGGCTATTTATAGATCAACAAATGCTTTGGAAAATTCTCTTTGTGCAGCAACACCATTACGCCACTACTCATACCCACTAAGAAGATCATGTTCCTAGAATTAAGGAACCATGAACTCCTCAATGTGCAAAACCATGACTGACATAGAACATGGGAGAGTAAGTCGTAAGTTTTGGAAAACATGGTGATTTTATTTTTTCAGAAGATATTTTCGAAAATAAGAAAATAAAATAAAATCTTTTTGCACAAGATATTTTCGAAATTCAGAATAAAATAAAATCCCTTTCAAAAGATAAAAGTTTTAGAAAGCAACCGTTTTCCTAAAAGCTAGCATGCACAATTTTATCTTTTTAGACCAATTCCACACAAATTTTTCGAGTGCCATTTAATATCTTATACTTATGTAAATCCTAAAATATAAAAATATATTTAGTCTTCATGTTCTCTGATGAAGCTTCTACTCCGAGGCTTCTGTTCCTTGGGAGGAACTTCTCTTCTCTGATGAGGCTTCTTCTCTGAAGCTTCTGTTCCCTGAGGGAACCTTCTCTTCTCCAGTCTTCATTTCTGAAGCGCCAGTTCCTGTGAGGGAACTCTTCTATATGGTTAGCTCTGCTTCTGGCCTTCTTGTTCCTCATGGTATATTTACAAGACACTTCATTCTCCTAGTCTTTGTAACTGAGTACACACTTAAACAATCAAGCACTTATTAGTTTGTAAGTAAGTGAGGTTGTGTCATCATCAAAATCATTAAGTCCAACAATATTCCCCCTTTTTGATGATGACAAACAAACCAAACTTACTAACAAGGAAACAGAGATAATCCATTTTATTCCTAAGGAAAGGAAATGCAAAAACAAAATATAATGCAGAATAGAAACTAATGTTTAAGGAAATAAAAACAATGCATAAATAAATAACTTAAGGAAAAACTGAAAAACTTGAAAAAACTTGTATATACATTATACCTGCTTGTAGAGATTAGGCAGCTTGGGAATATTTTGAACAGAGACCATAGAATGATTAAGTTTCCTTGATAGTTTGCATCCTTTTCCCCCTTTTGGCATTATCAAAAACTAACACACATATGTATAGTATACCATAACACAACACCAACTAGTGGTTTAGTGTTAAGACAAGAAGCATGCATAGAGAGAAAACATTCACAAAGCATATAGGAAAAAGAAACATAGATTATAATCATCCAAAACCGATTTAAAACATCGGCCAAATGTACCAAATTTGCAAGATTACCAAAAGAAATTAACAAGTGCCCAAAATATTACAGACCCAAAAAAATTGTTCCCAAAAGCAAATAAACATAAGTTTCATCAACATAAAGAGGCTGCAAGGAAAGACAGGTTAAGATGCAATGCTCTGGTCATCATCAACAACAAGATCCTCCAGCTTCTTGCTGATTTGAGACACTATGTCCTTCACAATGGACTGTCTCCCTTGTTTAGAGCTTGAGACCAGCTTCTTGACATCAGTGCTCAGAATGAGCATGCTCTTCTTCAGTTCAACCATGTTTTGCTTTGAATCCTCTTGTTCCTTCAGCACCTTCAGGAGCATATCCTTCATCTCCTTGACCTCCTCGCTGGGAGCCTTTGATGGGGAACTAAAAACTGCGAAACCTGTTCCTGCAGATGCATACTTGCCCAGACTAGGAGAGCTTGAGAATTTCTGTAATTCCTCTTGCACCCTAGTCATATCAATGCAAATGGGTACAGAGGGCTCCTTTTTCTTCAGCAGCCTCAAGCTCTTCCTTTTCTTCCTTCCCCCTGTCTCAATCACTTCCTCAACCACCTTTTCCTCTTCCTCATCCTGAATGTCCTGCACCACTCCCTCTATTATCCTAGCAGCTCTCTCTTCTTTCCCCTCAGCTATGGCACCTACTTCCTTTGGCCTTTTATCTTTTTCCTCCAGCACAACCTCAAAACATCCATCTACAACCTTCATCTTA